TTTATGAGATGTTCTCCAAATAAGTTTGAAACAGTATTCTTTTTGTTTATTAATTTCTTTTTTTTTTTTTTTTTTTTTTTTTGGTCTGGTCCTACTAATACTTAGGTTCGAAATCTCTGCCGTTATTACACCTATATATAAACAGACTTTAAAAAGCACAGAGTACTAGAAATTATACTGTGGTTTGAATGAACTGGTAATTACTTATATTTTTCAGTTGCTCATTATTTTTATTCATATTTTCTCAGGATTAATTTCATTCATTTCTTGTCTTGGCATTGCAGACATTTTGTAAGCAAAATGAACACTTTGGCAGATATGAGAAGCCCTTGCTTATTGACACTTCTTTCCCATTTTATTTTTTTTTCAATATTATTTTCTACCAGTTTTGTAGTTTTAGATTTTATACTTGGATATCTGACACATTTCAAGTTAATGTTGCCTAAATCTGTGTATCTAAATCATTTCTTTCTCCTTCCTTTTCCACTTCTCCTCTTCCTCCTCCTCCTCCTTCTTCCTCTTTCTTCCTTCTCCTCTTTCTCCTCCTCTCCTTTTCCTTTTCTTTCTCCTTCTCTTTCTTCTTTTTCTCTTTTGAATGGATATCCTGTTGTTCTAATACCATTTGTTGAAGTAACTATTTTTTCCACTGAATAATCTTTGCTCCTTGTTATCTAATGTTTACTTTTTATCTCTGAGATCTGTGATGCTTCATTAACATATTTTATAATATTTTACCTATATCACGCTATTTTGTTTTTAATTTTTTTTAATTTTAATGGTAATAAAATCCAACAAAACAAAACAAAGCCAACAAAAATAAACAAAATTGATACAGAACTTCGTAGCAAGATACTAGGAAAACAATAATAGCTACCACAGTATATCTTGTTATCTTCACAATAGTCCACTCCATCAGGTAGAGCAACATCAAACCAAAAACAAAACAGAATAAAACCAATCAAAACAGAACATTGAATAAAGCAAAACAATTAACTAATCAGAATAAAACAAAACACTGAGAACAATATTGTATTTCAATGGCAAGATAGAAGGAAACTCCTCATATTTAGTATATCGCACACTGTCATCCTCCCTGTGGATGCTCAGACTGCTGGCTCCAGGCCTGCAAAATCAACCAAACTACACAAATTTGCTTACTTTTTGTACATTAGTTGCTATTGACTCAGTGGTTCTCCAAACCAATCAGTTCCTTGTGGGGAGAACTGAATGAGATGAATTTGATTTTCAACCCACGCGCTGGTAGGCTCACATGTGGTGCTATTTGATTTTTCTCTTCCTCAAACCCACATGGCTTGCAGTTTACCAAAAAGCTGGCTACTTACTTGGTTTATTGGTTGGCTCCTCCCTGTTCCAGCCTGGCCTGTACTCAAGAGAGGCACTGACTTTTCTCTTCCTATATCACACTATTTCTGATTATTTGGCTTGTATTTAGTTTCACATTCCAAATTGATTATTTTATTTCAACATCATTTTGGATACCATACATCTTTTTCTTAAATAAAAACTTTAAATTGTATTGTCAATATGCACAAAATATCAGAATATATTGATTAGATTGTATTGCATCTATAAGTAAAGTTCGGAATAACATATATTACTAATTTTTTTATCTTTCTATCTTTATCAATGAACATGAAATATCTCACCATTGACGTCATTCCTCTTTGATTTCTTTCACCAGAGCTTTGTAATATTTGTATGCATTTTGAGATCATTACAATTGTTTCATTTTATGAATTTCCTAAGGATATTGTTTTAATTTGAATTTCAATTTGTCCCTTTTTGCTAGGCAAGAAAACAACTGATAGTTTTACATAAGATTTCACATCTAAAATTTTGCTATAATTGCTTATTACTTCCAAGAGTTCTTTTGTTTATTATTTTGGGTTTGCTATGTAAATATCACCTGCAGTGAATGACAGCATTCCTACTTTCTTCCTAATTCATATTTTTGTTTATATGAAGGTATTATTCAGCATTTCCCATATGATGTTGAATTATGTTGTGAGAAAGGATTATTATTACTTATTCATCATGTCATAGAAAATGGTTCAAGTTTATCATCATTAAATGTGATATTAGATGTATAATTTTTGTAGATATTGTCAAGTTTAAAAAGTTTCTCTCTGTTCTTATATTACTGAGAGATTTTACCTTAGGAGGATATTGACTTTTGTCAAATGTATTGTCTGCATCTGTTGATAGGGTCATGTATTTTTCCTTCTTAGCATGTTTACATGATGTGTTATATTAATTGACTCAAATATTCAATCAATCTTACATATCTATAATGAATCCATTTTGGTTATAGTCTGCAATTATTTTTATGTATATTTTGCTTAAAATTTTTAATAATTCATTGAGGTATTTAATGCCTGTGTTAATGATCTATTTTGTGTTAGGTCCCGTATGAGAGACAGCACAATCATCACAACAATAAAACCGTGCCCTGATAATGCACACCTCCTTCTTACCAGAAGCCCCTATGGCTTCTCCCTCCCAAAAGTTGGCCAAATCTCAGGCATGTAAAAGTTTATCCCATTGCCTGCATTTTCACAAAATAAATCAGCTCACATCAGTCCCCAGAACCCTAACCCTATCAGAGCCTGTACATGCAGAACCTGCCCTTTGTTTGCAGGAGCCCCCCACAGTCTTCCTTGTGATGATTCCCTCTCCCTTCCTTCCCATTAAACTCTTTCCTTATCACTTGCCTCCTCTTTTCAATATTTTGTGCTGCTCTAAATTGAGTACAAATCACCCTATCACTTTGGTCTTTAGTTTTCTTTTATCATAATATCTTTTTTGTTTTTTGTATCACTGTAATTTTGGCAATATGGAATATATCTATCATTTGGAAGAAACCGCAGAGTGTTATTATAAATTGTTGCTTAAATGCTTGACGGGCTTCTCAACAAGCTCATCTTGACCTGGGGCTTTCTGTTTTGAAGAATACTAGTTGTCCATTTTATTAATTTAGCAGACACATGACAACTCTGGTTGTCTACTTTTACTTGATGAGTTTTGGCAGATTGACACATTTCATCTAGAATATCAAATTAATTTACTTTTTTTTGTTGTACGTTATTTCTCAACTATCTCAATTTTTGACAAATACAAGAATAATTTATTTGTTCAAGAATTAACGGAGTCAAAAACTCCATGAATCTAAATAATGTTTTAGGGATAATTAATGTTTTGAACTATATTTTTCTTTAAAAAGAAATTTCATATGAATGAGTAGTCTTACCTTCAATAATATTCATTTCTTTTAATATTGTAATTAAGTAGGGCAATATAAGAAATTTTGGTAGGTAAAGGAATATAATTTATATCATGCAGTTTAAAACTTCATAGAACCTCTTTTTCCAAATTATTACACAGAACTACTTTTTCCCACTGGAAAGTAAAGAGTGAGTTTTTAATGAAGTCTAGTTGATCAACAAAATTTCATTTTCAAAAAGAAAATAGCAATTTGCAGAGGGTTAGTTTTATTCCATATTCTAAAGACTTGTATTATATTTTATGTGCAGGTACTTGAGACTTCAAAATAACATATTTGTTGAGGGTGGTGAGCCTCCCACGACTCCGGAGCCAGAGGCAGTAAGATTGCTATGAATTTGAGGTCAGCCTGGGCTGTAGACTGAGTTCAAAGCCACCTGGAAATGCACAGAAAAACCCGACTCAAAAAGACATAAATAAATAAATAAATAAATAAATAAACAAATAAATAAATAATGTATTTTCTGTCAGACTTCATGCTGTACAAGACATATTGAATCCCATGAACCAAGGGACAAGGCAGCTTCAGTTGTACCCTAGCCCTGTTGCAATCGCTCTTTTTGTTGGATCTAATCAAAATTTACAGAATTTATGACTATCACTGAAACACTCCAAAAGAAGACATCTAAATGAGGAATATTTTGTCATCAAAATCCAGAGACCCACTAGGTCTTCTGGTTAGCAGAGGCCCTAGCTGCAACAAGGTATCCTCATTTTGGTAGAGATGTCTTCACAAGCACTATACCACTTGGTCCTTAGAAATTCCTCTTAGGTGAAAGCCCAAGAATAATTTGTTGGGTATGTTTCCTACTGTCTGATATGCAAACAACTTACTTATATGTAAAAACAAGTTTCTTCTTCCTATCATATGTCTAGCCAGGAATATCATCAATGTAATGAAATGGTTTAACGTACAGGAGATGAAAGTAAATTATGTCTCTCTATGGTACAGAGACTAGAGTTATGTAATGTTTAGGCAGTATAACTGAGTCGTAAGAGTGTCCTTGCTGCACGGAAGCACATTGGCTCAATTCATCTTGAAAAAAGATATTAATAAAGTTGATTAGTCAAATCCACCACTATGTACAATTCATGACAGTCTTGGACACTGAAACTTCATCTGAGAATATTTACAATTTGGATATGGACTGCTCAAGTTTTTCTTGAATATTTGCTCTTGTTCAGCATACATGTTTCTGTCATGGTACAAATGGATGAGATGAAAGTACCTATGATTGGATTCATTACCTCTAGTGTAAGTCCTTGATGGTGAAGCTAATCTCTGCATTCATATCAAGAATTCACTATTGCTTTGTTTATATATTTCCTATGATTTCTCTCTTTTCTTCCCAAAATAATCCTCACTCCAGTGATAAAATTTATAATGTTGATTTTCTGTTAACTTCCACTACCAATTTTAATCAGATGTTAGATAAGTTTATTGTAATTATTCATTATGGAACAGAGGAAAATAACTGTAATACTGATTTTGACCAACTACTAAGAATGCTGTGGGATGAATCTGATTCAGAGCCTGATGATAAGCTGACATTGTCAAACTCTACACTGAAGAGAAAATCATGTCTTTATATTCTGAATTTAGCATCATTTTAAAGACAATTTACAACAATCCAAAGTAAAGTTCATAATCTTTTCCCTTTCCTAACTCACAGTCATCCTAATAAAAGGCAGTATGTCTCTGTGGATAATTCTGGGTAAAATAATAGTATATGTTTTTGACAATGTATCAGGATTCTTCCACTAATAATTCTGGTATTTACTTCATTCATCGAGTTCTGAGTCTACAAACACGATCAGTTTTAAGAAATCATTAAGTATACATAACTCCTTGATTTGGTGATTTTAATTAAGACTTTATAAAAATTTCATTCCAATTTTCGTGGTCATAGCTGATGAAATATTTGAAGATGAGTTGTGAGAAATTAGATTTTCAAGACTTAATAACAGGCACCAACAAAAAAGCCAAGGGTTAATTGCAACTTCAAAGTAAGACAGGTCTCCCACAAGAAGTATGCAAGTATCCAATCTACTGTATGCAGGGCAACAGCACCCAATTAAGCATCATAGGTGGTGTGTATAGAACAACAACACCACAAGGAAAAATTCACCAGAGACAGATATCCGACAACAGCATCATCCAACAATTACATGAATTGCTCACTCCACAGTCTACTTCAAAGCAGGAGAGTTTTACAGAATAAAGTACGTAACAGTGAGAATATTTGTTCCATTGCATGACCAGCATTTTGAGGAATAACTAGATTAATATACAGGCAGGAAGGCAGCTCTTACAGTTTGCCAGCTTCCCTGAATCCTTATTATAACAGGTAACTTGACATTCTCTCTGTTGAGAATGTGCCCTTAAATGAGCAAGTCTTGGCAAGAGAAAAGGGATATTTTGGGGGAAAAGGGCCCAATGTTCTAAATGTTTCTCTGCAGTGATAGACTTGAAAAGTTAAAAATGTAACAGACTGCTCATTTGTTTCTTTTTTAGGGACACTATAATCAACTAGCCAGTACATCAGGCCTTTGTGAGTCAGAACATTTTTATTGCTTCTTTGCCTGTCTCATCCATTAGAGTCTTAACAGCAGCCTTGTAACTAGTGATTGAGCACTCTACTTGCCTCCCAGCATCCTGGAATCCCATTATCTTCATTGAATTTATGCATATCCAATTGTAATGTCTTGAACAGAGAAGGCTGATCATAGTGTGTGGGATTTCCCTGCAGATGACTTTTGAGTAATTCAAGGATGCTGGGGTTTCTGCACAAATTAATTTTCACACAGTCAGTATCATAAGTATCTCTTTACTCTTTTGATGTGACTGTTATAGGTCTTCACTTATAAATGCATCCTAACATTTAATCACTTCAGGCATTGTGTTTGTTACTCCACAGTATGTCAAAGCACTATGGTGTTTCAATATGCAAACCATCTTTAAGTTCATATTTCAGACAACTGGATAAACTGTTAGAGCCTTTAATATTTCCTCAAAGTTAAAAAAATTGAATCTCTTTATTTGAGCAATATCAAAATTCACATCATCCAATTTTATGTGTCTTTGATCATTATCCAACATTCATTCATGTTCCCTAATATCTTTGAAAATAATCAATGAAAACATGCAGTTCTCTTGACATGAAGCACACCTCCTCCTGGGTCACACTTTGACCTCTTATTTGAATCTTGCTGGTTTTTATTCAGGTTACATCTCATGTTACACATCTAGAAAAAAGAGAGATGGCAGAGAAGTCCTGAGGTATAAAAAGTGCTGTGAAATTCAAGTGTCTCTAGAGAGACAATTAAGGCTCTTAGTGCAAAGAAAGACTAACCTCCCCTGACAGAGGCAGAAGAGATTTTCCGCAGTTAAGGAAGATTCATCAGGCTTTAGTTCAGTGTCTGCAACTTCACGAAGTTACACCATAGTACTCACGCACGAGCATTGTTCTCTGTGGACAGCCAAGATAAGGACTTCTTTCAGGACAAAATAAAATTTCAAATCATTACTTTGGAGTGAGCTGGGAATGTGTAGAGCAAAGTACATTCTTTTCTCACCGTAGTATCTTCAGTGGAGTTAGGAGAATTCCGTTATTCACCTTCAGTAAATATTCTAAGGAAGCAAATATGTGGTTACTCAGAAGCATGAATTCTTTAGTTATTTGACTGTTAATATATAAAGATTGTTATATACTGGACATAATCAAAATATATGGTGTATGTTTAAATTTTTATGTTTATGTTTATGTTTAATTTTTAAATATTATGCTAAAAGATACATTACGATTAATCCCACTCAAAATTTTCTCCCCCCAATTTCAAACATGGCACGTTGTGAAGCAGTTCTGGCAGGTTTTTTTTTTTATCAAAGACTACAAATTATGACTAAAATGACAGTATCTCTTGCTGCCAAGTTTTATGTAACAGAAAAGTAGACACATGGAAATATTGTATTGTATCCTTACCTACTCTTTTCACAAATATGTGTACCAGTTGTATGACTCTTCCCCAAAGTCAGTAGATTAAAGCGGAAATAGCAGTGCAATTGAAACATCATAAAGAACCTCTAGTAATGCTTTCAAAAAGTTGCAAGAATGATACATCAAGTGTATTCACAGAGCTGAGGATGTGGCTTAGTGGAAGGGTCCTTGCCTTGTATGCATAAGGCCTTGAGTTCAAATCCCAGCACCACAAATAGATAAGTAATTAAATAATAAAATAAAGAGATGAATATTAGTGCCAATGTGTCATTTATAGCAATTCTTTATGGCAAACTATATCTATCTATATAGTTATAGATTTATCTGTGAGTCTTTTTTTTTTTTCTTTGAAATGCAGTCAGAGTAGGAAAGTAACTCCAGAAAACATAAAGATAATCCAGATAATTTACTTTTACTATTCTATTTCTCTATTATTCGTATGAAGTCAGCATCATTCAACCCAGAGAAACACAATCACAATGCAGCATATAGTAAGAGATTTACTACAAGAAATTATTTTAAGCAGTTGTAGGCTAGCTATGGAAGTTCAAGGCTCAAGTTCTCAGGAACAGTTGTAAAATTTAGCCTAGGAAAGTTGACTCACAAAACCTCAAAATTGATAAGCATGTTTGCCTCAGTATATTAACTGGAATATACAGATGTGTATGGCAGATGCTCTGTATATTTCCCAGGCCCCATTCATCTGTGGTTCTCATCCTCCTCTATCTGCTTCTAAGCTGCCATGAGGTGAACAGTTTCCCTCCTGAAATTTTCTGCTGTGATGTTCTGCATCACCCTGGACCACTGTCATGTGATCAGTTATTCATGAGCTATGAAACTTCTCCAATCGTGACTCAAAGTGAGTCATTTCTCATTCAAATTATGTGTGTCAGGAACCTTGTCCCAACAAGGAAAATATGACTAGCACAGGAAGCAATTTGCTTTATTTAGACTATCATTTCAAGAAGCACCCAGAATAAATTAGAACAAATAGCTATGCTCCCATGATCTATTCAAGTTGACACATAAAATGTATGGTCACACACGGTTTTCATCCAAATGTTCAAAACAATTTCATAGACAGTAGATGAGATTATGCATTTCTAATGGAAAGCCTGAAACACCAAAAAACCTAATATGATTTTGTCTCTGTTTATTACTTATTTTCTCCTTTATTACAGACTAGTTGTTATCTATTGAATAAATAAATGACATTGAGAGCAAGCATTCCTTCCTCCCAGACCTTGTTTTGCTGTTGCCTCCCAAAAAAGTTTAAAAGGAACATCTACTCTTTCTGAATTATTTAGAAATAACATATGTCTTCTCTTTTTCTCTCACTGACTCCTTTCCCTACTGACCAATATAAACACAGAATGGCTGAAAACACAATTCTTGGTTTCACAGTTGAAACTGTCACGTTTCCAGTGTTAATGTGAACACAAACGGAGGAAGAGCAAAAGGTATCAGTGTCCATGAGCAGAGGAGCCCCTCTCATTCCACATTTTCATTCTATCTTTCTCAGGAATGGCTTCCCTCATCATCAGTCGGTGCTTATTAGAAAAACAGATTTAATGCAAGGTATACAAATATATAAAAATTTACAAAACTGGCTTACAATGGCCACCCACAGTGTCAGGTACAGTGCAAAGGGCTGTCCACACTGGAGACCCAAAGGATCCAGTGGAAGGCCTGAGCTCACTGTAGTGTCCTGGGTGAGTTCACATCAGGAGGCTGAAGAGTCTGCAAGGAGATGATGTCTAAGGTGCCAGCGAAGACTGAAGCTCCTCTGAAGAATAGGAGGCTCCCTCTTCAATTCTCTGTTATACCTCTAGACAGCAAGTGCACTTGCTGTGAGGTGGTTGCCGTCACCACACAAGAAACTGCAGCAAATCTTCAGTAAATCCCTTCAGCCAGACCCAGAATGAATCCCATTTAGTTGGAATCCTCTCACTCAATTTACACAGTGAGTTAACAGTAACTCTCACCATAGTGCAGCACTACTAAGTGAAGTTCTTCAGAAAGAAATGCTAACGTGCTCATCTCCTCTTACTCCTTTGTGTCATCTAATTTGCAATTCACTTATATCACCAAACCACTTTAAATCATAGCAAGATATTAAAAATATTTATCGTAAAAACACCTATGGAATTCTATGTAGGAGCTTCAAATAAATATCAGAGACTATTTTCTATTTTCTAAAACCAGGTATGAAATTCTCAAAAAAATGATTCAGAATTACATCAAAAATGATAATGTATTTTGGCAAAATAATTGCAGCAAAAGTTTACCAATATCTCTATATTAGATGAAGTATTAATTTAGTCAAATATGCTAAGAAACAATTAAGGCCCTACAGTCTTGTCAGTAAGTGAACAAAAGTGATGTCAACACTTTATTTCAAATATATTCACTAACTACTTGCAATCTGTGTTTAAAAATGCACTATTTAAATTAAACAAAAGATGTAATAGAAAATACTGATAAGCTAAAGACTTAGTAAAATGAACAAGGAACAATAGGATTACTCAAAAAGCAATAATTTACAGCCTCAAAATCATCCTTCTAGTTTAAGATGCCTTTGAAATAGAATCAGTTTTATTTTTTAAAAAGATAGAGTTCCTAACAAATCTAGAAAAAACAAGATTTTCAGAAACTATAGTTTTAGAAATATACAGCTTTCTAGAATTAATGATAAATGTTAACATGTAAATATTTTAACAAAATTCAAGTAAAAGCAAAGTTAAACTTCAAGGATAATATATAAACTACCTTATTTTTGTGAGGGGGGCATGTGAGTTATGCATTAATAACAATATTATCAAGTAGTTTTGAGAATTTAGAGACTTTCAGTAGCAGCAATTATGGACAGAAAGTTCATTTCTCTCCAAAGCTTGTATGCTGAAGCCTTAGTTCTGAGAGATAATTAGCCCACAAGGATGGAACATCCATGATGTGATTAATGCTCTTGTAAAAGGAAGCACAAGAATATCTCTCTCTCTCTCTCTCTCTCTCTCTCTCTCTCTCTCTCTCTCTCTCTCATCATTCATCTTCCAGCTGAGATATGTCAGCAGGAATCCAACTTGCTGATTTTGATTTTCTCAGACTTTAAGTGACTACATTTCTTACTATAAGCTTTTATAGAGAAAAAAATTATACTTTCATGTTGGTATCATAGAATTAGAGCCAACTAATGTTATAGAGAAAGGAAAATCCATGTGAACAAGAAGTAAAATAATAATAATATAAGTTGATGTGAAGAATAATTTCTTCACAAGCCACTATAAAATGAATAGAATTCAATTACTAAGGGCCTTCAAATTCTATATTAAAATAGTAAAATGAATATATGACTAAATGTAAATACAAAATTAAGTTGCTAGACAAAAATATATGATTTTTTTGGCAGTACTGGATTGATCCCAAAGTTTTCAACCCCCAAACAAAAATATACCACACACGGTATTGTTATTGTTATTATTTTGAGAAATGTTCTTGCTAAATTGGTAAACTCTACAGGCTGAGATTGAATTTGTAATCCTCCTGCTTTGGCCTTCCAGAGAGCCACTGGGCTAGTCTTTTATTTTTATTTTTCAGTATTGTGAAGATCTTCTTAAACATGTCATACATTCAGAAGACATATAGGACCATGTTCAGTCCTGGTGACCCATGGTCTCGTTCCATCTCAGTGTTTCTGTAAGCATTTGACTAACTCAAGAAAAATAACATAAAGTTGTAAAGTGAAAGACAAGAGGTACTAGCACGACACTGTAATTTTCCACATAGCTATATTCAAACAAGAAAAGGAATCTTACCACAAAACATTGTAAATAACACAATGTGTGTTATCTAGATGTCCCCTAAAGCCTCTTGGGTTTAAAGGTGGGGCTTTTGTAAGGTGATTGTACTTTGGAGGCAATGTAGCTGACTTGCCCTTACAAGGCCCTTTGAGTCCAAAGAGGAGTGTCTGTGTGGGCCTATCCCTTAGGGAGCTTCCCTCCCACAATACTCCTTTGACTATCTGCCTGCTGCACACCATGAGGTGAGTGGCTTTTCTCAGCCCACGCCCTCTGCCATGAACTGGAGCTTATGAACTGTAAGCCAAAATAAACCTCTCCTCCTACAAATTGTGGAACAAACAGAAATATTCTAACAACATATTAGATGTAATTACCACTAGAGACTTGGAAAGGACACAAAATATTTGCCACATGTTGCCCTTTAGATATTTGATTATATTCTGTATAATAAAATTTTGAGGAAAAAGATATCCTCTTGTTGGAAAATATTTTCTTAAATTTTAAAGTATTTTCATTTAAAATGCTTATTTTTTTCACTTTTAATTCTACTTTTGAGTCAATATTTTATTTCATTTTTATTTTTATTTTAAAGGTAATAAAACAAAAGAAAAGAGAACAAAGCAAATCAGAACAGAACAATGCAAGCAGCAAAGCACTTCACAACAAGACAACCAGATATCAACACTAGCTACCATAATGTCTCTTGTTTTCTTCAGCATAGTTGAACATACCTTGACACACAATAATATCAAACATAATAAAATATTATAAAACCATTCAAAAAATTAAAGCATTACAGGACTTCAAAACCAAATAACAGGAAATGAACAAAGGCT